TGTGATTTTTTTCCCCAGCAGCAGCAGACAGACACAGTCCAGATCATGATCGTCCTAACAGTAAGTCAATTAAAGCACCGGCAGTGATATTAAAACGTGTCAAACATTTATGTTTTGTAATATTATGTTGCAACAGTTAATGTATAGGTCACCCAAAATTGAAAATAAGGATTGGTCCCAATATGTAAAGATTTAATTTTTAATTTAAAAAAGCTGTGTGTGAATTACTCGCGTATGTGTGATTTATTGATAAAGTTGCTTGTGTTTACATGTCTCGTTGTGTCTGTGATATGCTGTAGATAAGTGGTTTTTCAATCTGTTTGATGACAAAGACCCCCAAATATAATAATCCCTTTGCAGGAGAAATAATTACCTTTCTAAATTATAAAATCAATTATATTTTTGCATGTATAGAATGAAAAAGTTAAGCTGTGTGAGAAAAAGTATTAGGCATCATCAGTATATATATATATATATATATTGATAAAGCAATTGGCTTTTATATTGCCACTGTAAAACCAAAGCAAATTTAAGAATATTTTATCTGGAAATATTTATATCATATTAAGTTATTTCTTTTAGAATAAAATAAAAAATAAAACAGCATTAAATTAGAACATTAAATTCAGATTTATCTGTAAAGCACATTTCACAATTGAATATAATCCTGAAGCAACATATTGAAATGATAGTCATGTAGAGCTCTAATGCAGTGAACAGACCTGGAACTACTTCAGTAATGTAACGAGGCGTCAACAGAGTGAGGATCCATCTGCAGTTTATTAGAAATCGTAATCAACAGGCACAGTCAAGCACCAGCAAACACAACAGAGGAGAGAAGTCAAATCGTTATCCAGGGATGTGCAAAGGGTCGGGGCAGGCAGCAAACAATCAGTAGTCAATGAAACAATAGCAAGGGTTCGGGGCAGGCGGCAGGCAATCAGAAGGAGAGAAGCAGTTCAGGTAATCCACAGAGAGGCCAGACACGGAAGGAAACGCTCAGAAATGTACACCGGGGCAATACAAGACTTCGCAATGAGGGAGAGTCTGAAAGCTGTTTAAATAGTCACCTAATGGGAATCAGGTGCAGGGCAATCAGAGCCAGGTATGTGTGTGTGTGTGTGTAAGTGTATATGTGTAGACCGGATTGAAGTTCAAAACTCGGGAGAGAGTTCCCTCTGGTGGTGAGCAGGAGGCACAGCGGGAGTCTCGTTCGTGACAAATACACACCAAAAGAAAGATCACTCAATACATGCCAAAACCACTCTGGCTAACTACTGAGCGGTCGTCAAGATAGAATAGAAGATGGCACATGAAGGATAACCTGCACTAATACCCCCTGTGCACATACACTCACAACTACAAATACATAAACACAAATACAAATGCTGGGGGACCGGCTACAATTAATCAGTCACATTAAACTAGGCCTCCCCAGTGACTAAAACCCTAAATACACCCATAAATCAATTAACCATAGATAAAGGCAAATAATGAGCTGCTAGCCTTCTTACCCGCCACCGGACATGGGGTACAGCGTTCGGGAAAACTCACCGGCAGCCGGCAAAAAACTGCAAACTATCCCTCCCAATCGCTTCGCACACGTCGCAAAGAAACATCCAGCCCACGTCTCAGCACGGCAGCCTTGGCAAGAAGCTCAGCAGCCCTCACATACAAGATCCCCCCAAACAACACCAGACCCTCATACCTTTATTGATTGCATTAAAAATGCAGCCCAGGTGTTCGCCTCTTTCCCCTAATGAGACGAGGAAGGAAGACACTGCAGGCACTATTACTGTCGCCCCTCCCCTTGCCTTAAATGAAGGGCTTACAATGGACACTTCGGGCCCCCATGATCCTTTGCACAGGGAAGTTGTTTGGCGTCACAGAGTTCAACTTCGCCTATAAATGTATGTATAGCATTTTTCTATACTACTGTAATATTTATACAAGTTAGATTTGGTGCATTATTATGGTCAAAACTACATTGTACTTTAACAAAAATACTTTACAGCTACCTTTATCAGTCCATTCAAATGTTTCAAATACATAGACACAATACATTACAAATACATATTACATTACATTACATTACATATACAAATATGCATTATGTTTAATGTAAAAGACGACTGGGGGTCAACAACATAGAAATTTTTTTTTACAAAATGTATGACGAAGGCGCCTCCTTGATCGTCTCGTTAAGATGACATAGAAGTACGTTCCAAAAAAATAGTTTTTTTGACCCCTACACTCTTCATCCCTTCGAAGCTCTCACTCCGGAGGGTAAACCCTTTGAAGGGATTAGGGCGTAGGGATAAGCCCTTCCGAATGGAACGCAGGGACAGGCTATCATTTACATGATTCATATTTGAATGTGTGAAAAAGGAAACATTAGTGGAGCAGTTTCCGTTCTTTTAAAGAGAGTGTGTATATTTGAATATATAGCCTAATTATTATTATAATTATTATTATATATAAATATTATTTGCAAATAGATCACATGAGTTTATTTACAATACATTTTAGTTTTCTAGTCTTTTGATGTTTGATGGTTTGTTTATTTATTTATTTCCTTTAAATAAAAAGGTCCATTATCTTGGTCAAAAATTACTTTGGTCCCCTCCAAAGTTCAAGCACGGTTGCGGCTTTGTGATTCTCTACACCTGTGGTGGCCACCTGTGTGAACTTGAGGAGAAGTGACTTCATAAATGACCAAAAATCTTGATTTTTTAATTCAATTTTGAAAAAAAAATGGGTGTGAGAGAGAAAGGAGACATTCAAAATGTGAAATAAAAACCACTGATTTATACGATCAAATTCATACATTTAAAGGCACAACATGTAAGAGTTTTTT